GTTGGCATCTTCGTAGAGGGGCTGCAGGGCGCGTAAGCAGGCAACTCGGACTTCACCAACACGATCATATAAAGTCCATCCAACGTATTTAAGATATGAATCATCCAAGAACATTGCAGGATATCGGCGCATCCAGACACCAATTTCCTGCATGCAAATGGCTCGTATTTCAGCTTGATTATCACTGAGTGCCAAAAAGATAAAGTACTATTTAAAAATAGAGCTATATTATTAAAAGCGAGAGCAAGTAAGAAATGATTGTGAATTAAGGTTATTTCGCAGGGCAAATATACCGACAGAAAATGACTTAATAGTGTGATAATGACGTGACTAAGAGGCGAACATGGAGTTGAAGTAATATGAAATTTTTTAAATTGCGTTTAAATGAGAGTTAGCGAACAATTTCAATGTAATTACACATTAAAAACCTCCAATGATTGAGGGATACTCGAACTACACACATGATGCAAGTTAAATGATTCAAGATTACGCTTGATCTAGAAAGAAATACGTAAACACGATTATGTACCGATAGCGATGGACGAAGACACCTTTGAAGAGATATATTAGCATATTTTTCACCTCATCCATGTTTTCCTCAAGTTCTTGTCTTCGCTTCATGAGAACATCTAGACGATCAGAAGCCCTCCTTCCTTGACCTTTGGATCTTTCTGCCTCGTATTGCCTTTGAGTGTTATCGCGGTTGATGCTAACGTTGAGCGCAACGTCAACGAGAGCAGTCATCATTTTCATGGCGGCAAGAGTACTTGTATGCCGGAACGCGCGAACCTAGAATGAAGGAGACAAATGTTCAGTACGTCTACTAAAATGCAGCAGGAGGAACTAGTGCTTAAGTAGTAGCACAGGTATTAATAATAGTTTGACAGAAAATAATAACGAAAAACAATGCGTTAAAACAAAGTAACGCAAATTTTGGGGTATGATTATCACAAACTTAAATTGATAAAGGAATACTTGCCTGTGAATCTGTTAAACCTGTGAGGAGAGAAATTGCTTGGTCGATCATGCATTGATCGTAAATAATGCTATATTGGCATTGGCGTATCAAGACCTGTATAAAATCGATGAAATTTGCACGGAAACGGCGCCAGGGTCCACTGCTTTGAATCAGGGGATATTCGCCTGAATCCTCATCAAATTCTTCAGTCATGCGACGTATGATCTCAGCATGTGTCATTCGGCTGTACATTTCCGGAGTCACTTTGCCTTTAACATAAAAAGGCGTGTGAATAGGTGATAAAAAATAAGTAAAAAAATGAAGTAAGCCTACCCTTGCAGCCACTACATGAGATGAAAAATTGGATGAGTTCCAGCATAGCCGGGTCGCGATTCGTTTTATATTGCTCAATCCAATCATCTACTAGGGTCTGAGGAGCAACACGACCAGATCGAATAGCACCAAATAATGTATGTTCATCATCATCCGAATGAAGAGTAGCTCCTAAATGACCAGCGGCGCCGCAAGATACAGGACCAGGTCCCGCACTTATGATACCAGCGAGGCCTGTTGAAGCATCTAAATTGGAAAATAATTGAGAGTAGTTATAGAACTAAAGCCATCGATAAGTATTAACAAATACCATTACTGACCATGATCATGAAGCGAAGAATTGGCGGGCGGACGACCACGTCTCCGCTTGACTGGCGGTTGAGCCTGATGGGACGGTTGTGAGTTGCTGGCAGCCACATTGCTGTTACCTAATGGTGCATTAATGGCAGAAATATTAGGGTTTCTTCCTGAGTCCTGAACCATATTTGAAATGGCGTTTGAAGGCACTGGTATACGCACCGATGCGTAGCCGGGGGCATCAGTAGCTAGCTGAGGATTATGGGGGATAGACGGATGATGACTTGCATAATGCGCGTTACTCGAATTTTGTCGTGACTGATGGTAAGGAGCTGTACTGGTTACTGTGTGTGACTGCTGAAGATGGTGTTGAGCAGGATGGTGTATAACTTGAGTCTGATGAGTATCGTAATCTAAAAAATGAAGACAATTTTGGGATAAAAAAGTTACAAAATCCACTGATGCTTCACATGTATATATATATATATAT